TCCTCAGTATCTTTAGCTTTTGATATTCTGAGACCATTGGATTGCCTGGTGGATTCACCTCTAGCTGTCAGCAGCAAGAACAGTTATAAATAAACCCCATGCCAGAGAGAGAGGAAGAGGAATGGGTCAAACAGATGTTTCTACATTCTCAAGCTGAGCATCCCCCTCTTCCTGAAAAACATTCTGATAGAAGGACACTTATCTTGAGAGGGACAAAGGAAGCAGGCAAATCAATGAAGCCAGAAGCCTGAGTGTTGGGTGTAAAGGGTGATTTAACATATCTGGTGGATGAATATACAAATATATGTAGTAAGAGCCACAAACTCTTGCCTCAGACTCAATCAGAGAGCTGTACTCACAGTCTAATGCAATATGACAGCTGTGTTGCCTTGCTCGTTAACACGCAGAGCAGCTGAAATAAAGCACTACAAATATGGTGTTTACCAGCTTTGAGATAACATCCTTTTAGTAAATAGATTTTCCAGCTAATCTTATGATTAAAAAAAGATGTGACAACTAAATATCATTGAAACAGTTCTCTGTATGTTTCTGAAGGACACATGAGGCTCCACAGAATAATTTATTGTACGTAGATAATGGAGTCACTGTGAGTTGTGATACAACCAGTGGCAATCATTTACAGTTTAAAACCTTCCTCCAAATATATCTCATATTGACAGTTCAAGCATGGAGAGAGCGCAAATTAAATCTTTTTACAGCTTTAAAGTCTGTGGTGAAGACAGACTTCTATCATTTTCAAATTATTTTAAAATTATTATTTAAGCATGGCAAGGTAGTTGCACTGAAATGTATTTATTTCTCAATATATAAAATATATTGTGTTAAGCTGCTTATGTTGCCTAGGCTGATATCTGTCTGTCAGCATTAATGTGACAAACTTCCAAGAGAAGAGTTGTAAGGAACTGTCAGGCTATGTTATAGCCAGCCCAGTCTGGCTGTGCTCAGTCTTCAGAAAGAGTGGAAATATCAGATGTTTCTTAAGCTGTAATGACTACGAAACCTTCAGGGACAATGTGCTCAGCCACTCAGATAGAGAAGAAAAAAATATCTTCAAGAAATATGGATAACAACAGTGTTTATGTTCCTACTCCTCAAACATTCATCTGATACTATTTTTAATTACATGATTATCCAATATCCTCAGAAAATTCAGTTAATGACTCATTAAAGTACAGGACTGAACTTCAATAACTGAAAGAACATTCAAGCTCAACCAAATCTGTAAGGAAACTACTTTCATTTCAAGGCAGGCTCTTAAAAGAGGTTAAACTGAGGTGGCCAGCAGCCTTTAATGAAGAGAAATCCACATCCAGCTAGGTTACAGCTCTTTATATCAGATTCAGACGGAACAGCCAGCTATCCTCCAAATCACTTACAGAAACAATAAGGCACTGATGCACAGAGAAAACTGATAGAGAAGCAGGTACTTTGAGATCAAAGTGTTTGTTCAACTCAACTTGCTATCAACCCAAGCTTTAAATGATTCTCTTGAGGACTTTCTACTTATCTTCAAAACTAAGATTATTCAATTTATCAAAAATTAGGGTAGGAATTTTCTGAGGAAACCTAGTGAGACAGAAACTGAATATTCACCAAATTCCATGTACATATCTCATGGAGAGGTTTCAAATATTTTAACTTAAACTACTGCAAATTGAGTACTAATAAATAATGAAACACAGTCCACATCATCAGAAGAAGGCAGAGAATAACAACAGAATTGGTAACATCTTCTAAGAACATAGCAGCTCCAGTTGGAAAGCAAAGATGTTTTAGGGATATTTGTAAAAAAAATTAAAATAGCAGTACTTGGAGTTCAGTTCTATTATCCACACTTAGCAGATGTGTCCTGTCAGGGGAGATTCAAGTTGGATATTAAGAAACATTTCTTCTCAGAAAGAGCAGTGAGGCACTAGCACAGCTGCCCAGGGAGGTGATGGTGTTACTGCTCACTGGAGGTGTTTGAGAACCATGGAGATGTGGCACTGAAGGACATGGTCAGTGGGCACGGTGGAATAGGTTGGTAGTTGGACACAGTGATCTCAGAGGTCTTTTCCAACCTTAATGGTTCTATGTTGAAGTAACCATCACTGATTTCAGCACACACTGCTCTTGCCATCATGCAGTTGTTCTATTACATTGAAGTATATTCCATAAGCCTGGGTGATTTGGTACAACTGCTTAGGCAAGCCCTATTCATTATTCCACTGGCGTAATAATCCTAAACCTTTCTGGCAGTCCTTAAGTACTACTGGTTACTAAGCAATCACACACATTCACAGATACGCTGGTGTGAGCTTGAAAGTAGATGGTTTATCTCATGAATTATTTTTTTAACCAATGTCTATCTTCTTATGATTTCACACTTATGATATCACACTTATGATTTTTTGCCTTTGTGGTATTACATAGTAGAACACTTTGAAGGTTGTTTTATAAAGCTTTCTTTGAAATAACAAATCTCAAAGCACACAATTTCATCTTAAAATATGAAGAAAGGGAAGGAATCTCTTATACATAATCAGATTACCCAAATAACTGAGAGTTTGTAAAAACACATCACGTATTAAGGGACAACAATTAAACCACAATTTGATCACCTCCAGTCAACTTCAATTCAGACATAACTGAAATCAATGGAGCTATACAGAAAAAATGTAACATGTCAAACCCGGATGGGAGTTCAGAAAAGAGCTGACGTGGCTCAGCTAAACCTTGCTTCAGAGCAGTTCAGAATGGAGTAAAACTGATTAGGTAATTACAGTGTGCTTTAATGAAGAACTACAAAAAGCTAGGGACATAAACCTTGTGCATAGTTTAAATTCTGTTCATATCAACAAATTTGTGTTTTCTTCCTTGACAGACAACAGTAACCACGCAAAGGTAGGAAACAATGTTATTATGTGTACCAAAAGCCTAAAGGAGTTTCTGTAATTCATTTTCAACACCTTCCAATACTCTGACCAGCTTCACTCTGACTGTCCTGAAGAGCACAAGGAAAGAAAAAGAGATACTTCAATTTAAAAGAAATGCATCAGAAGAGTATAGTTTCCAAAAATGAACATCCTCATTTTACACTGTTTTGGTTTCACACTTTTTATTGGATTTACTACACCAATATGAATGAAAATTACAATTTTACATAAGCCATCTGACTACCAAGCAAGAAGAAAGGAAAAAAAATATATATATTCTGTTCGAGTCACTGTTATTTCATTCCAAAGAACTGCCCAAACTTCAGTCAGATTTGGGCTGGAACAACACAAAGTCGAATGCTTCCATTTGCTTTAGCCCTTTAATCTGCAAGATGCATACTCAGATTCAGTCTTAGAACCTCGGAAATCATTCAATGTGATGAGATGCTCTGATTAATCAACCATTTATTTTTAGGAACCATGCATTAAAAAAATAATAATTAAAAAGCATTTTAGCAGGTAGCAGGAAATGCTACCTTCATAAACTTGTATTTGAAATATAGCAACTGTTCATTACAAATGTACTACCATGGAAAAAAAGATGGGTTGCAGTGAAGGAGCAGGAGCTTTGTTTCTCAGTAAGATGTTCACAGTGAGATGTTCAAGGTAAAAGAAACTCCTATGACACTAAATTTAAGCTACACATCAGACTACATTTCAGAAGAAGTAAGAAATTGTAACAGTTCTTAGAGGAAAGACAATAAAAATTCCTATGTCTTGTATGTAGAGGTCGTGTTTAAAAGTTTGTTCGAGCAGTGTGTTCAGTCTGTTCTATGACCTTCACAAGCCATGCATTTCAATAGAACTATCTATTTATAACTGTACCAATTCTTGCTCTATTACAGCAGAGCATTGTTTCCCGGTCATTTTCAAATTCAGTCCCTCAATTTTTCAACAAGCACATTAAAAATGAATCTATTGACAAAGCTTTCCTTTCTTAGTTGCCTCTTCTGAACCTCTAGAAACAACAGATTGCTCTCCACTGTCTTACAGATTTAAAGTTGATAGGTATTTCACCAAGAGTGCATTCAAAGTAACTACACTGATTTATGGAAGAATCATAGAATTGTTTGAGTTGGAAGGGACCCTTAAAGGCCATCTGGTCCAACTGCCCTGCAGTGAATAGGGACCTACAGCAGATCAGGTGCTCAGAGCCCCGTCCATCCTTACCTTGGATGTCTCCAGGGATGGAGCATCCATCATCTCTCTGGGCAACCTGAGCCAGTGCCTCACCACCCTGATTGTAAAAATCTTCTTCCTTATATCCAACCTAAATCTCCCATCTTTTAGATTGAAACCATTTCCCCTTGTCCTGTCACAATAGACTCTACTAAAAATCCACCCCCTTCTTTCTTATAGCACTCCTTTAGATATGATTTGCCCCATTTGCTAGATAGACTGTGCATCTTCAGGCAACAACTTCAGTCCAGAAAGAAGACAACTGCTGGAATATGATAACAGACTTCAAACACACGAAAACTATTAAAATGTATTCATAATTATGGAATTTAAAAAAAAAAAAAAAAAAAAAAGCCAGCAGTTTAGTTTATAGCAAGTGATTGAGTATGGAAACACACTTTTTAATCTCAGTAAGTTTGAAGAATCTATAGACTCACACTTTTGGAAACCTTATGGTTAGAAGAAGCTGAGAGAAGAGCACAGAAGTGAGTAATCACGGCAATTGTACTCCTTTCCTCGCGGAGAGCAGGCGCTGACTGCTACAGATCCTTTCTAGCCTCGCGGCGCTTGGCATCACTGTCACATTTTTTGTCATTTCGTTAATAAGAAAAGCCTTGTAACTGCACCATCAACAGCTCAGAGCAATTAGATCTCAAAGATCACTCCGCGGAGAGAATTCTATTTCTACCTCGACCACGATTACACAAAACTCAGCCAGCAGCTTTACTCTAGTTTGAATAAGAAATTCCGTCTTGGCTAACAGCGAGGGGTTTTTAATCCCACAAACGCCACCGCTTCCAAACGAAACGGCCCCGCGGTACTCACATGCCAGATGGCGAAGAAGATGAGCGCGGCGCAAAGCACGAGCGACAGCATGTAGCAGAAAGCAGCGAAGGTGAAAGCCATGGCGAGGGGAGCCCCGAGCCCCCAGCGGAGAGACGTGCACCCGCGCCTCCAACACCGGCAGAGGCGGAGTTGCCTGCTTTCAGACACAACCAGGGACGGAAGAAAAACCCGTCCGGACCCGGTGGAACCCTCCACCTGCTCTAGGAGGGGGAGCGGGAGCGGTCCGGCCCCTCTCGCGCTCTGCCCTCCCCCGTGAGGGCGGTGGAGCCTCCAGCGGGGGGGTGGGTTCGGCGGGGCGGGGTCTTTTGTCACCACCGCGTGTTTCTAACTGAAATGCTGTCGCGACAGCGTGAGGGTGGGCTGGTACTCAGGCTGGCTTAGGCTGAATAGTGAAGAAAGAACAACTTGTCCAAACTTGAAGTACTTTATCCTTTTCACGTTTTCTTTTAGTATGAGGTAAATCTAGCTGTGGCACAGGCTGCCCAGGGAGGTGGTGGAGTCACCATCCGTGGAGGTGTTTAAGAACTGTGGAGATGTGGCAGTGAGGAACGTGGTTAAAGGGCAGTGGGGATGGGTTGGTGATTGGACGCAATTTGTTAGAGGTCTTTTCCATCCTTAATGATTTCTCATGATTCTGTGGTGCAAGGAGCGGTGAGATGTGACCCAGTGCCAGAGGCTACTTGAGAAGGGGAACATGGCCAGAGGAAGGCACTGCCAGGGGTCACCTGGGCAGGCCAGCACCAAGGATCCATCACTTCCCCTGCAAAGAAGTGGCAGAAACTATCCAGTAGAAAATGAGGCTCAGCAGAGCAGCTTCCTTACACCCTCCTTTACACACCATGAAAGGATATCACGGAATCACCAGGGTTGGAAGGGACCTCAAGGGTCATGAATCTCCAACCCCCCTGCCACATGCAGGGCCACCAACCTCCACATTTAACACTAGACCAGGCTGCCCAGGGCCCCATCCAACCTGTCCTTGAATACTTCCAGGGACAGGGCATCCACAACCTCTCTGGGCAGCCTGTGCCAGCACCTCACCACTCTCTCTGTAAAGAACTTCCCCCTGACATCCAATCTAAATCTTCCCTCCCTCAACTTAAAACCATTTCCTCTTATCCTACAGTTATCTACCCTATCTATCAAAGAGTGGATTCCCCTCCTGTTTGTAGGCTCTCTTTAGGTACTGAAAGGCTGCAATGAGGTCACCCCACAGCCGCCTTTTCTCCAGGCTGAACAAGCCCAGCTCCCTCAGCCTGTCTTCATAGGGGAGGTGCTCCAGTCCCCTGATCATCTTCGTAGCTCTCCTCTGGACCCTCTCCAACAGCTCCCTGTCTTTTTTGTACTGGGGGCTCCAGACCTACAGTACTGTAGATGGGACCTCACAAGGGCAGAATAGAGGGGGACAATCACTCTAGCCACCCCTCTTCTCAGGATAACATTTGCTTTCCGAGCTGCAAGGGCACTCTGCTGGCTCATGTTAAGCTTTTCATCTGTTAAGACCCCCAGGTCCTTCTCCACAGGACTGCTCTCAAAGATCACTCCTTCCAGTCTGCATGGATGTCTGGGAATCCTTCGACTCAAGTGCAAAACTTCGCACTTTGCCATCTTGAATGTCATCAGGTTCACCTGAGCCCACCTTTCTAGCCTGTCAAGGTCCCTCTGAATGGCATCCTTTCCTTTAACCGTGTCAACCACTCCACTCAGCTTGGTGTGGTCAGCAAACTTGCTGAGGGCGCACTCCATTCTGTCATCAGTGTCATTGATAAAGATGTTAAAGAGCACATATCAGCAGTTAGAGTAAACAAAGAAAAACCCATTGGAGTGACACATTTTGGGAAACCACAGTTTGGGAACCTGACTTGCAAATATTCATGATACCCAAATTGCTGAAGCATATACTTAAAGCCAGGAAGGAAAAGTAAGCCCCTTCCTTCTTAGCCCATCACTGCCAACACCCATGGTGCCTCCAAACACCACCCTCCCATTTCTGCAGGGATTTTGCTTTAGATTTGCCATCAAGAGTTCTCCTATAGAACCACATCAGCTGATAGCACAGCAGCTTCACAAACAAGCAAAATCAGTACAAAATACCACAGGAACACCAGAGGACTCATTTAAAAATATTCTTTAACAAAAGCAAGTGTAGAGTCTTGCATCTAGAAAGGATGAAACAATACAGGTTGGAGGGGATGAGCTGCTGGAGAGGAGCTCTGCAGAGAGGGACCCAGGTGCCCTGGTGGATGACAGGTTGGCCATGAGCCAGCAGTGTGCCCTTGTGGCCAAAAAGGCCAATGGCATTCTGCAGTGCATTAAAAAGAGCACGGCCTGCAGGTCGAGAGAGGTGATCCTCACCCTCTACCCTGCCCCGGTAAGGCCTCATCTGGAGTACTGCATCCAGTTCTGGGATGATCTTTGTGGCCCAGGTCTGGTGAAGGGCCTGGAGCATCTCCCCTATGAAGAAAGGCTGAGTGAACTGGGTCTGTTCAGCCTTGAGAAAAGATGACTGAGAGGGGACCTGATCTAGGTCTCTAAATACCCAAGGTGTGGGGAGGCAGAGTGGCAAGCCCATACTCTTCAGTAGCATGTGGAGACAGGACAAGGGGAAACAGCCAGAAGCTGCAGCATAGGAAGTTCCACACAAATGTGCACAAGAACTTCTTTACGGTGAGGGTGATGGAGCACTGGAACAGGCTGCCCAGGGGGGTTGTGGAGTCTCCTTCTCTGGAGATATTCATGACCCACCTGGACACCTATTTGTGCAACCTGGTATAGGGAACCTACTTTGGGAGGGGGGTTGGACTCAATGATCTCTAGAGGTCTCTTCCAACCCCTATAACTCTATGAAAACCATGGATGAAAGTTATGTATTTGCACTCTCCTCACCAACTTAAACTAGAGCTCACAGCACTTTTGTCTGCCCTTTATGGATGAAGGCAAGTTCAGTAGCAGAACTACTCAGAAATTTGCAGTGGCCGCCTGCCATGATTAGTATTATCTTTCTTCTCAAATTTGTTTAAAATTATCTTATTTTTAACATAATATGTACTTTTATCATGAGGAAAATGTGTTGACTTGAACAGAGTGTCAGGGCCAATAATTAACAAACTAAACAAGAACAGAGAAACAGCCTTCTGTAACTAAGCTGCTCCAGAAAGTACAGGCAGGTTGATGATTTAATTAAGGAGGACAGAACACAGCCAATAGTAAGGATCTTTGCTGTCTTACAAAGATGCAGTGCATTCATTGCAGTTTTTTAGCCTTCCAAATTCTTTTTTTTTTTTAATCTGAAATCCTGCAGAGAATACATTTAAGTAAATGGTTTATTCATAACTACACATTTTGAGAAGAGCTGTTGATGAGCTGAAGAACAGGTATTTGGATTCTGTTTTTGTTTTATTTTTGTCATACCTACTTTAATATCTGGATATACATCACCTGTGTTAAGACTTATCACAGAACACCTGAGGCTTCCAGGAAAGACAAAAAGCATTTCCTTCTGGAGCACTTACAAGTATGCATGCATACACACATTTATGTATATAAATATATTGTTGTTGTCATTAAAGATATTGAAACAACCATTAAATATTAGTTTGGACTCTAAGATAAATATTTTCCTGTTTTCCACTGCCTCTCATCTTCTTTTACATTTCAACTATCTATTTGGAGCTGTTTGAAGAACACAGGCAAAATATGCTTCTCATTTTGCAAGGAAATAGTCCTACAGCCAAATACTTCCAACATCAAACAGTCTTTCCTGGTATTCATTTAAAAGCATGCATTTCCCAACAGTCTTATTTCTAGTAACTTTCAATGACTGTCTCATCACAGAAATTTCCAATACTAAGTTAAAGGGAAATCCACCAAGTTGCTTTTAGTTTGTTTTTGTCCTACCATCTTCTTTTAAACATACACCATGAGGGTATCTTAAGCACCCTAAGATTCTTAAGTGTTGGAAAATGGTGGAAGGATTTAGTCTTCACTCAGTACCTCTCTGAAATTGGTCTAGGCTATACTGTCTTTAAAAATATTTAAAGATTTAAAAATATCTTCCTTATCTCCATCTCTTCAGAGACTCATTGCAGCTTTCTGTGGCACAAGGACATTGCAGGGGGAAGCTGTACCATTTCTGAACTAAATTACTGCAAATCACTCAAACTGTGTCAAAAGGTGAAAATAACACAGACATGCTCAATCTTTTTCTCATTGGCTTAAGCCCTGAGAGCACAGCAGGAACATCAAGCTGTATTTTGGTGCCTCATTCACTTTTAAGGTCTTTGTCTTAACTTTCAAGTAAGATGATGGATCTAATCCCAGCTGCATGAGAAATTGCAGCCCAGCACCCAGCTGTGCTCCTTTGGTGTAATGGATACCAAAGAGGTCTGAATGGATGGTATAAGAGCTGATGATGCTGCATCACCAGCTGATGGGATCTGGAATAAGCATAGCAGACATACAGAATATCACCCCCTTTGGGAAAAAATAAGAAAAAGATTTTCAAAGCTATTATTTTCACACTTCCCAAAATAAATAAAATGGCATGCACATGTCCAGACACACCTGGGTTTCATTTGAGCTAATGGAAATAGAAGTCCCAGAGGTTCTGCAGAAATCCAGTAGGAAATGCACCAATCCTTGGCCTCTGGTGGCCAGCAGCTTCAGTCTCAGATTTGGCACCTTATCTTCCATCCCACTGTCTTCAAAACGTCACTAATGCTCACACTCCCTCTAGGTGGAATATTCACACCTGACTCCCAAATCAGACATCTGTTCTCTCCCCCCTGCACACATCTGCACCACGGCAATGCAGTAACAATAATTCCTCAGAATGCAGAAGCTTGAAGATGAATTTCAGACCAAGCAGAAAGTGAATAAATTTATGTTCAGATTGATTAAAAAAAAAAAAAAGAAAGAAAATAGGTTTGTATTCTCTCCTCTCATCTTTAACCAGTTGCTGTTTTCTTTTACAAGTATTTGATGGAAGGGTCACAACATTTTATTACATAAGCTGGTTCTGCAGAGCTCTCTGCCATAATACACAAACAGATGATGACTTCCATGTCAGATGCCATTTTATTTCACACTGCCCTTCTGCTGCCATCTGTCACACAGCAACAAAATGTAATGGGATATTGGTGGAAAGGTTTGACCTCTACTGCCGTACCACCAACTTCTTCCTCTGAAGTCATGGGCCAACATAATGAAATAGGAGGTGTTACTTTCAGAACAGCCCTCATAGTTTTAACTTTAATATATTACTGAATGCATAGTAAAGTAACAGGCATTTATTAATTATACAAGAGATTTGTCTCATTAGATTGAGTACATTTTAAAAATACAACTGACTATCTTTGGTGAACTTTGATTAATACTAAATAATTAACAATGTTTACATAAAATTTGCTCTCCTTGGGCTTCACTGTTAATATTCCGCAGAGATTCATAGAAGCATTTTGTACTATTATGCATTATTATTTCAGATTAGCTGCAGATTTCAGATGAAATGATTGCATTCATTTCTAGTCTGTTCATTTTTGAAAGGTTATCTTTGCAATCATAAAGGTGACATTTACTTAACGAAGACTTTTTTTCCAGACACCAGGAACATGATAGTTCATAAACACAATGACAATAATCTCATCCTACTGCCAGGAGAATAAGTTCTCTATTCCAGACCTTCAGAATTCAAAGATTCCTGTCAGATCACGATCTCCATGTTTACTCAATAAAATCCATTGAAATCTTTCTACATAGAAAAAAGGACTCCAGAATGATTAAGATTATCCAAAGACCATTTCTGGCAACAGCAGAAGTCATGTTCATCACACAAGAGTTACCTACTTCCAGATGTGAATCCTTTCTAACATATGGAGAAAGCAGCCTCCCATTAAGAATTTTTCAGCACCAACAATATAATTCTTTTTTTTTGTGAATCATTTGCTGAACTGTTAAAAACTTCAGATTGCAGAGGAAGCCCATTACACAAATGGAAGCCCACTGAGGAACAGAAGTAATATCTCAACATGAAATACCTGAAACAGGCTTAATTGCATTTGATGCTGTCTATATGCTTCTAACTGATACCTGAAATCAGTAATCACGTAGTTCTTGCTGCACTTTATTAATTCTGCCCAGGTTTAATGTAGTTTACTCTTGGTTTGGGGAGAGAGAGGTCTCCAACTTTAACACTTCTGACAGTATTCCTTCAGAGCTGAAAATGGAATAATACATTTTCTGACAAAGTGAACTCAGAGAAACCCTTCACAGCCCCTGAAGATGCCACAGCCTTACTATGCTACTAAGACAATTTTAATAATATATAGGGGTTTGTTTTTTTTTCCCCCCCAGACACTGAAATTCTGGGCCAAGTTATTTTGCTTTTAATTGTGTTTAATTTCTTTCCCCACCACATAACCTGAAATATTCTGCCAATCTACAACACTTGCTTGTTGCTCCTACCTGTTACACACCTTATAGGATTCAATTCCATGGCTCCATTGCTATAAACAGAGAAGCCAGAACAAGGACTGCCCTTGGATTGCCCTCCCTGGAGGAATTCAAAGCTAAGCTGATGGGGCTGTGAGCAACCTGGTCTAGAGGGATGTGCCCCTGCCTATAGCAGGAGGCTGGAACGAGGTGGTCTTAAAGGTCTCTTCCAACACAAACCATTCTGTGATTCTAACAAAAGCAGACACGTGATGTACTTCAACAATTGCCCTTCTCAGAATCAGATTATCTTCTGTATAATCAATGAATATACAGATGTTACAATTAAAAAATAAATGAGAGAGTGTGGCTAAGCAGGTTATCACACTAAAAAGAATAGACATAGGGCTTACCCTTGTCCTAGGCTCACTGGAAAACTCCAAAAAAGAGGGACCTCCAGAAAAGATCCTTCTCCAGTGGCAGTCAGCTCTTAAATGGGTCTAGGAGAGCTGCAGCCAGGCTTCACCCCTTCCAGCAGCACAGCTGAATTGCCTTCACCTGTGCTCCCAGGGCTGACTCAGTGCTTGCCTCAGGTGATCAATCAGAGGCCGTGATTCAGCAGTTCATATACAAATTCTTTTCCATCAAATGATATGTTCTTCCTCTTTACCTCCTTATAGTGAGACTGCTATTTCTCTACTGTATTATCAGCCCCTCTGTCTGGAAGACAAGAATCTGTGTTGCAAACCAAGGCCTGGTGTCTTTTTTATAAAGAATTTTGAGTGTTTCACCAAAATGACATATGTGTTCTAACTGAATTCATGGAGTTATTCATTCTCAGTTTGCACGCATAGATAAGCAGCTTCAGCATGGTCTGCATAAATAACAGTGTTGACTAATGAATGCATCAAAACTAAATTGTGACTATAGTTGTTTTTTTTTTTTAAAGTGTGTTCACTTTTGACACATGAGAGGTGGGTGCATCCACAACGTGAAATGGAAGTGAGGCTGTACAGACATGAGCAGCACACACTGCAGAGTCAGTACAACAAACGGACCGGCTGCCATCACCTCAGGACCTTTGTAGCCCCTCATCGTTGTCCACTGCATCCACTAAGTTAGTATCAGCTTTCACACATCTCATTTTACAGAAGAAAAAAAAAATCAGTGGTACCAAGAGCTGTACTATTAGCGTATCCACAATAACACTTATTGAAATACTGAGTTTAGTTAAAGATTCTCCAAATGAATCCCCTACGTTTTTGCAACTTTGAAACATATTCATCAAGAAAAAAAAGAGAGAGAAAAATAAAAGACCATAAATGGGATTTTTTTTTTTAAACTGGGGGAGTTATACTAATGATGTAGCACTGCATCTCTTAGAATTTCAAATCAGTTCAGCCAGAGTCCCTTATAAAAATTGTTTTAGTATTTAACAACAACAGCTGAATAATTGATGCTGTAAATTGGAAAAATACCAGAAGGTTGGAAGTGGCAACGGAGGAGTGGGAACATGTAGTAAGAAGTCTCATGAGAATGGCTGTGCTGAAAGATCATTACAGCTCTAAAAATAAATCTTCAATACATTAAGACAAAGTGGTTCTTTGTGATTTATCCATCTCTTAGGAGAAGAGAACAGAAAATATTGGAAATCTTGGTTGGAAGGTCTCATACTTTTTATGCCACAAACTTATGCTCTTCATTTAGGTTCTCTTTTTTTCCTTTCTGTTGTCTTGAAGAATATTTGCCTAGAACACAAGGTCAAATTATGAATGCTTGGGTCCAGATCTTCACAAAAAAATTCAGGATGTTTTCTAAAACACTCATTTTAATTCCAGGAATTACTACAAGAAGCTGTGATGTAGCCAATATAGAAAAATCTTCCCTCATTTGGCTTATTTTTGGAAAATATAAAATCTATGTCATTCGGAGTTGCTTTTTGCCAAGTTCTACATATTTTGTATCATTAATCAGAAAGGACAAGATATGCTTTCTTCTGTTGAACCAACCATTGGTTTTATTTCATAGACAAAAATGTCTGAGCGACAACAGGTGTTAGCTCTTGTTACCCACTCTCTCCAAATGGAGCCATCTTGTGTTTTTTCTTAAAGACTTGACTTGTTGCTCAGAACTCTGAAGTAGTTGTTCACTGGAAGATCAATGAAACACAAGCCTTAGAGATTGCTAGAGAAACAGAAGTTCTAAATGTGAATTTCACTAATCATTACCTGGAAAGAGAACAATGACTCACGTCAACTTCATAAAGTTAAACAGCCTTTAAGAAACTACAATGACTCACAAGCACTGAGCAAAATAATACAAAACAAAAAGAAAAAAAAGAAAAAAAATCTGTTCTCAGTTCAACGCACTTTGTTCTTCTACAGAGAAACTCAGATTTCTACTTGAACCAGTAATAACAGCCTTAACATAACTACCCTGACACCAACCAGACAAGCAATTAAGAATAGTAGATGCTGCTATCACTATTTCTTGCTGACCAAGTTACAGAAATAGTTGACCTAAAAATTAGTGTGAAATAGTACATAATAGGAATGAACCTTTTTTCCCCTCAAACAGATGATGTAAGAATTTCTTTTCACTGCAATTCAAGCAACACTAAAAATCAAACTAGCTTTCAAATTGTTATCTAATAAGACACATTCTTTTTGCAAATATCTAGGTGGGGAGTTGTTTTCTGAAACATTCATTTTAGTGACTTTAATTCTGTATCCATTGAAACGATCACCACAAACAATGTTATTCTGTTAAGCAGAGCTAATGAAGTTGGCAGATTTGGGCATGAAACAAAAGCAAAGATGACATTTTTAGCAGTACTGGCATTTACAACCTGTGTTGATGATCTATCAGTTAATGCTGTCACTAGGATGTTTATGTGGATGCTGCCTTCTGAAAGGTACGCCAAGCAGCCATTTATCCTTAGATTTTGATGCTATTTCAAACGACATTTTTGAATGTAGGTTAAGAAAGACGGGTTTGGTTGATTTTCTTATGTGAGTATAGTAATATGTTGGGCAAACAGATGTTCTTCAAGTCATGATTCACTGTCAAAAAAGAAGGATTTTGCACTTGGGGTTCTATCTCAGGTCTGGCACTATTCAAAACTCCCATTAATATTTTGTATAACATAATGGAGAGTATTATTAAATACCATTCAGCAAGCAACTGCAGAGGATCTCTTAACTGCCTGTGAAAGGAAGGAGGCAAATTCAGAATCAGTGATGAGTTAAAGACTCAGTGTGAAAAGTGTAAGCAACTCAACAAAGGCAAATGAGAAGTACTGCACTTAAGTAGGAATATATACACAATAATATGAGCTGGAACAATCAGACAGCAGCCCTTAAAAAATAGCTGAGTATTTTATCACAACCTGAGTATATGTTAGTAGCTTCAATCTGGCATGAAAACAGAAATCATACTGGGAGAAGTAAGCCAAAATGTGGACATTACACTTGCAGAAACCTTGTGAATCAGTTGAATACAAGTCAGGTGATGCTAGGGTCATAAACACGACCTCTGAGGTAAGGCTGAAAGAACTGAGGTTATTTCACCTAAAGAAAGCTCTGAAGACGTGCATGACAGTTGTGTTCAAATGCATAAAGGAGTACAGAGTGTGGAAATATTCTGTGTTCACTACAGATAAAATTAAATGTGACCTTCTAAAATGGAATAAAAAAGGAAGGGCAATTGATATTGTCTATCTGGACTCCTCTTTGACTTGATCCCACACTACATCCTTTTCTCTTCCAACCCAAGCCATTCTTTGATTCTGTGAAATGCAATGGTCTCAAATTACCAAAAAAAAAAAAAAAAAAAAAGTTTAAAATTAGAAGTTAGGAAGAGGTTTTTTTATTGGTAAAGGCAATGAAATAATGGAATAGATTTCCTTGCAGAGACAAGTTCCATGAATTGGAATATTTCAAAAGCAGCTTACACAATGTTCTGTCAAGCATTTTGATATACCTTCCAACTCAAGAGATAGAATGTTCTAATTTGTAAGAATTCAATAACTAAGGGGAAAAACTATTAGATTATTTCACACATTCTTCACTGTAGCTATATCAAACAAAAGAGGCATCAGTGTCATTAACAAATGAAACACACAGCAACCACGTTACGGTAGAAATGACACTCAGGTTGAATAGCAGGTCACAAGACTTCTATGAAACAACTTTTGGAAAAATACATTGTTTTCTTCAAGTTATATGTTTTGTTTTTCCTCAAATCAAGGAAGTAACATAACAAATGAGCATAAGGACATAATATTACAATATTGTCTAGGCTTCAAACTAGAACATGATTAAGAAAAAAACCTCTATTTTTGCATCTCCGAACAAATGTAGGAATAGTAGGAGAACATATAATTTCACTTCTGTTTAAGAACACCGCAACTTCCAAAATTATGCTCAGTGACATCTCTTTAATACACAGTTGTGATGGTAAATCTAACAAAGAAAGATGTGCAGGATCTGTATGTGGCACAGTCTGTTTAAATCAGAAAACTTCAAGCAGTGCAATTACTTTGTCCTATTCCCTCCATTTCCTTAATAATGGTTCATATGGAAGATACATTCCCAATAACTTTATGTGTACTGCAGCTAAGGTCGAAGGCTGAATGCTTAGCTAGACTTTATTTAAAAGTAACAAACCCAAGATTCATTATCTTACCTAACACAGTCCAAATGATTTCTTACCTTTTATTCAAGGCTCTTCAAAAGGTTCCTTGTAATTTAGGAAAGCACAAAGAGAAAACCTATCTATTTTTAAGATCCAATATTCAGACTGCTTTTTCTGGTATTATATGCATTGTGTAGGGTAGCTAAATTCAGAGAGAAGATTAAACCCCACTACTAACCAGAACCCTCTGGGTCAATATGTATATGAAGGGTCAAATTTTATTTGCATAAGCAGAAAAAAAAATGCTAATTTCTCCTGGAATTGTAAGTGCCATGCCAAAGCAGGGAAAGGCAGTGGAGTAAACAAAGAGTAGGGGATGGCACAGCCATGAAATATAACATGGCAGGCAATCACACTGCACAACCACACTTAGAAATACGGTGTGGTACTCTAAAGCTCACAAACTGTGTTAGCTCATTACCTACTGAGAATATGAGCTCAACTGACTGATTTCTCTTATTTATCTTAAGATTTTATTCTAGATATAGGAGGATTTCATGACTAAGAATAATTGAGAACAGATTGAACTGTAAGTCTTCAAGGACTGTAAGAATGCAACAAAAGCCCAGATGTGGCCATTCTGCTCAGAGGAATCAGGCTCCAGCTTTGCTCTGCTTACTTTATTTTTTATTACAGCATATTCTGACTGCTTGGCATTATGTTATGAATGGACTAGAGAGGGAGAAGTGGGAGAAATACCGAAGAGCAACTGGAACAGGAATAGAGTAGAATTAGGATGAGGACTAACCCACACATGCAGACCAGCTGAGTAAGTGTGTGCAGTTGGAATACAGAGCATGAAAGTCTTGTTGAGCAGATGAGTTGTTGATATGCTTAGGTACGGCTGCTATTGTTCAAGTTTTGGTCATCTGACAACAAGAAGTTATTTTCCTGCTGTCTGAAGCGATACCAGTTTCTTGTAAGAACACCTTGTTCTGGAAGGTTTAGCACACGGTCTGGTACAACTTGTACTGAAGCCTGCCCCCTGCCCCACACTATTGTGGCAGCCCAGCCTGGCCCCTCAGCACCTGCTGAATATTGGTTCACTATCTGGGCTGAAACCAGGGCTAACTCAAGTTACAGAAAGTAATTCTAAGCATTTTGATGCATAGTCTAAATACAGTTCTCTGAACAGTGAAAAATACACATCTGTAGTTTTGTTTTTTTTTCTAAAAGAATTAGAAAATAGGTTTCAAGAAAAAACAATCTTTTTTGTGTGTGTTTGGACTCCCATTTTCATTCAACATAAATACATTTTTAAAATGAGATGCATCTCTCGCTTCACAATCACACCTTATTCACGTCATTGCGTTTGTCAGTATGCACATAAAAGAGCAGCTGTCGTCAAGGATGAAGCACAGGAAAAGTAAAATTTCACAAAAAATCTCTAACGTTCACCTTCAGAACTCACTATAAATTGCTACTACTGCCATTGAACCACACTGATGCTCAAAAACAAGGTCAAACATCCCACTATTTTTATGGGATTTTTTGCTCTCTTTTCTGAAACTGCATTTCTAAAAATATTAAAAATAATTTTAAATAAGTTTTATTATGCAGATTGCCTACATTATATATTTTACAAGGGCTGCTCCAAAAGTAATGCCTCCTATTTTATTATGTTGGCCCAAAGCATCAGAGGTGGATGTTAGTAGCATGGCAGTATAGGTTAAACCTTCCCATCCATGTTCCATTACATTTTGTTGCTGTGTGACAGATGGCAGCAGAGGGATAGCCTGACAGAATGGCATCTGGCATGCAAGTGTGTATGAAACAGTGATGTGGAGTTGAATTTCCATGCTGAAAAATAGCACTCATTAACATTTATTGATGCTTGCTGAACATTTATGGAGACCAAACAGTGAATGTGACCACAATGAGGCAGTGGGTGGTGCATTTCAGCAGTGACAACAGTGACAGTGGGTCACCTCCACTGGTGCAGGTTTTGATGAGCGTGGCATGCAGGCTCTTGTTCATCACTGGTGAAAATGCACATCTAATGGTAGTGACTATGTTGAAAAACACTGTTTTGTAGATGAGAATTTGCTCTATCAAGCAAGGTTACTGTGCTCACTGTATCTGCTGTAGTTGCCATGGAAAGAAATAGGAGGCATTACTCTCAGAGTAATCTACATACATGTGGCCCAAGAAAATTCCTCTTCACTCAATGCAGCCCAGGCAAGCGAAAAGGTTGGATGCAGATGGGTTAGCAGATATGGGACAAATTGGAAGAAATAAACTGCTTGCTTAGGTGTGCACCTAACTAGCTGAACTTCCTCTTCAAGTAAATGGTTTTATGAGTATTTCAATTAAAAAATTTCACAAAGAGTTTGCCAAACTGCTGTTACTTGTCCATGCCTATTTTCAAATGATTCAATCCTGAAATACTTCCAATGTGCAAAGAATATGTGTGTATTATGTATGCAAAAAATATATCTACGTTTCTGAGTATGCCCATAGATGTTCAGTGAGTGTGTTCCACTCACATAAAGAAGGATTTTGAATTTGATGAATATCTTGTAGCATACATTTCAATCAAATTCTCAAACAAACATGTGGGAATGTATTTTGCATTTCATTAGTATTTTTAGAGGATTTTTTTTTTTTTTTCCCCCAAAAAAATAAGTTGTGAGAAATGCCAACACAAGTACCCTCTCAAATTTAGTATCAGAAGGGGCATCTTTTTGGCTGTGATCTCTGGCCTATAGCACCAAAGTGCTAAAGAAACAGGTGATGGTAATGGGATGACAGCTGACAGGTAGAAGGTCTGCTAATGGCCAAGATTTCAACATGTGGAAATTCAGCTTTCTTTCACTGCTGTAGCTCCTGAGATGCTAAGAGGTGTCTTTAAAATCTTTTGTGTTAGAAAGAAGTTCTAGGCTAAAACAGTACCCACAGCAATTTCATTGTTATTAGCAGTTAGTGAATGCTGTCATTTAAATGGAATTATGCAGATTTGGTGCCCCCTGCTGTCTTTTCTTTTGTTGTCAGAGGGACCGGTGAAAAATATTGTTAGTGAACTACACAAAAGGCCAAATCAAGAAAGCCATGCACAAAGGCACATTGAAGCTAGAACAGGAGTTCACAGTGCTGTTTGGGTGAAGTTTCCAGGAGTTACAAAGAGCGCCACAGGGAGCAGCACGGAGACCTTGAGCTTCAGCTGCAGCAGTGTATTAAAGAAGGTGTCATGACCTAGAATGGGACCGTGCACTGAGCGTCACTGGGCCTAACCTTCCCTCCTGCTGCTCATTGCCAGTCCACTCATGTTGTTAGCACCAGCAACCATCTGGTGGCACACAGGTTTTGTTTAACTTCCAGACTCAATTAAAAACTAATCTCTCTTTTTTCCTCCAGGTCTGGTGTTCTGCTGGATCAGTTTATTGTGTGATGTAAGAAGGGGGAGGAACGTATGTGTTGGCAGCAATATATTCATAGATTGGCTTTGGCTAATCATGAAACTTCTGCCCTAAATCAAATAAAGGTGTGAGGTGCCAACAGGTGCAATGATTTGTCCAAAGTAGTACAGCACATTTCTAGCAGAGCTGGCTGAAATCCTGCAGCGATCAATGGCTTAGATTTTAAATCTCTAGCATTTTATATTTCTCTATCAGTTTCTTCCTTCTTTTCCTGTACTTCTGGAACAGTGCACAATGTAAGAGATGATGAAGCAAAGTTACAGTGACTCTGCAGAGAAACAGACAAGGCTTTTTGAGGAAGGATGTCCACTTCTGTGATTTTCTGTTTTCAGACAACTGCAGGTTAACAATCAATAACTCTATAAGCTTATTCTCAAAGACTTCTCTTTAAACAGGATTGTTCAGTAAAGTCATAGCAATTAATCATTCAGCGTATTACTTACTGCCTTTGGTATCTGTGCTTGAAAAGGAAAAAGAAAGAAGGCATAAAAACAGCTTAGAGAAGGGACAGTCCTGCCTTGCTGACACAGATGTTTCAGTGCCTGTATTCCTTGGCACTTCCACTTTGGCACTATTTACAATTCACAAGATCCCTTCTTGATTAATAATGATCGTTCCAAAGTTCTGTCAAAAACATGTCTAGTGTTTGCTCAGTTGTGTTTTGTAAGCTGACACGTGAGCATTACAACTCTCCTCCAAGTTTCCTGAATCAAACACTGTGCTGCTCCAGCCAAGTTTGTGCACAGCTTTGAATTAATATTCACTCTTATTCATGGCACAGTGACTAAGACTTGTTTTGAACACAAAGTGAGGTGCCTCTTGGCAAAATAGTGGCACAGAAAACATTGGTGATAGGATGGCACTACCCTGTGCTTCAGGTGGATGTGTGGCAGAGAACACAACACAATTTTACACTTGAATTGTATTGGAAAGCTTTTCAGGCTGACATTGACTCTACAAGTCATGGCATGTTCTGGAAGGGCTTTCTGGTGAACAAGATGAAATTTCTGTGATTTGCAGGTTCTGAGAGGGTTTGGAGCTTCAAGAGAGAAAAGAATTTATTCATCATCTCTGACATTTGTTTATGTATACCAGTCCTAAAAATGCATTTTCAACTTTTGAACTCCTGTGACTTAGTGAGGTGGTAGAATCTGTATTATGTCTGCAATAGCAGTATTTAAACAAAAATATTGTTAAAAATTTTCCTCACTCCCAGCACCCAGAAATCTCATTTTGCATTTTAAACATAATATTTTTACAAATCAACATTCAAAACAGCAGAAGGCATGAGTTTGACCTGGAACTCGTTAAGTTTTGCATCCTGGTACAAAATGAGCTTGTACTTGCTGTTTGCTCCATGAACTCTCTGCAGGGGCTGAATCCAACATCTATGTCTATCTCCGTGGACTGTTGTGTAAGCCAGTGGCCTGTCCTCTTTTCACCCCTTTTCAGAGTGAAACATCCACACGCAGCCATGTCAGGCATTGTGCAAGAAGCAGATTAAGAGGGTGGACCCACTTGTTTTGATCTCCAGACAGAGAGCTGTTGCTCTCAGCTTCAGGGCTGCTCCTGCAGCCACCTTTCAGCTTTCTTTTCTCAGTCTTAAGCTCCGTTCTTTCACCCTTTTTATCCCCTCTCTGAAAGGCATAATAAATGAACGTGTGCATCCAGCAGACATCAGTTGCAGCACGCTGGTTTGTCACAGAAGGGCTGTGTGGAAGGGGAACACACAAGGAGTTTTGAGGCAGACGGACATAGTATCACTAGGCCTCAGGGCACCAGCTTATCAGTAGAGGTGCAGCTTTATTGGAAGAAAGTGTATTTTGTGATATTTTTGTGTGCAACTGAAACATTTGGTTTCAGTGACACAACTGGGAGGTGTTATCAGCCACTGGCTTGCTACATCATGGTAATTACGAAGAGTTACCAGGAGATTCTCCTTGGCATTGCCAGAACTGGTATGCAGAAAGGGTTAAAGATATCACCACTCATTGTCTCCCAAACACATTAAGTAAGGAAAATAATAAAATAATAAATAACAAAAGTTAGACTTCATGCTTCTCTCAGCATACTTTTTTTCCTATAACTCAAGTACTGGAACACACATCTTCCAGATAGCACATAATCTGCATCTTCTTTTATCCAAAAATGTTAATTTGCACATTGTAAGTTGCAGAACTGGAGGAAAAAACAAAAACTACCACTTTTTAATATAAACAAAAGATCTTACCCTTACTACACTTGTTGGAAATCCTGCCTGGAATGGCCAAGTTCCTGGGGCTTTGCCAATGCCAGCTAGCAAAAAGTGCTGCAAATAGAGTAGAAGACAAACTGTTTTCTGACATGATTTGTCCACTCTATAAGGATTAAAATCATTTTTTTTTTAATGTGAAAATGCAACAACAACAAACAAGCAGAAAATAAAACAAACAAATAAAAAACCAAATGATAGTCTAAGTCAAACCTGTAATACAAATAGAACAAGAGCTTGTAGATGTATTATATATATATTATAAATAGATATATTCATATATTTATTTATTTAGATATATAATATATACTATATACTATTATATATTATATACTGTATTTCATATTAAATATCATATATTATATAGTATATGTTATATACTATATATGGAATATATAATGTAATATATATAATATAATGGAACAAGGCTTATCTACAGCCCAGAGCCAGCATTCAAGAGGTTTGAATACAGAATTAACAGAGGGGGTGTGCTAAGCAAAAACAAATTTTGATAGCAAATATCCCTACTTTAAAATTAATTTAAAGAACAAAAGATCCATTCATCATCTGCTTCTGGAGACTAAACCAGAACTGTACCAACTGCATATTTATATTACACATCAGTAAGCATCAGCATATATACTTGTTAGAACAATATTATGTCACATTATTTTTATCAGCAGCTGGAAGGCAAAATCACTGCCTTTTATTCATAGTGCAGCTAAGAACACCAGGTGATAATCTCAGTCTATATAGTACATGCTGCATTTTTGTGAAGCATTATTTCACTTTCCTGGAGTGCTCTCTTCAGCTGTTGCTGCCTGTGGTGTGTCTAGACTGTAAGCTTTTGAAAGAAGGGAGTAATTTTTCTTTGTGTATTTGTAAACATAGATCAGTGAGTTCAGAAACCAGGGCTGCTAAGCGTTACAGGAATCCAAGTAATGACATGCAAAAAATCTCAATTTTTCATTTTAAGCTCCAATAAATATGTGGTGTCATTTTAAGGTATTTTTTGTCTCAGTTTCAGTATTTAACCATTCTGGTTACAGTTAAGCATTTTATTTCATCTGAACCCATTAAATGTGAAACATTTGTGGTCATCACTGATGAAAAAATGGTGTGAAAAATTTAACACTGCCAGACTATCTTGCCACTCCCTTTTTGGTCACAATTTCCCTGAACATAAACTGGTAGGGTAGAGATGAATAACTGGTGGGAGCTCAGATGTCATCCAAATTCTGATTGTAGACAGGACACGTGCATTCCAGGAGCTGAAAAACACTTCTGAGGCACACACTGTAGACTTAGCTAATGCAGCCAAGAAGAAGGCCGTAGGCAATAACTGACTTTCCAGCTGTCTAATCTTCAGTTGTATAACTGGGTACCTCCTGATGTTGCTCCTCTTGCTATATAATTCTTCCTGCCTGCAAGGAGAAGCTTCCAAACAACATTCCCAAACAACAGATATAACAATACATGTAGGAAGCATGTGACGTTCGGTTCACTGTAACTAGATATTATGAATTTTCATGGTATTACTGTATTTAAAATGTGTCATGAAGAGTTAATGTCTTCCATTCAGCGATCCAGCAACAATAGAACTGAATATCTCACTTACTGAATACATGTGAGTAAATCTGTATCCACTGCTCTGCAATAAGACACAGCACATAAAGTAGTATTATGGTTTGGAGCATAAATATGTATTCTACACTGAATAAATGGCATAAACTATTGCATTGAATATCTCCTAGACTAATATTAATTAATTCATTTCAGTTAGCACTGAAGTATTTATCAACCATTCACACAAGTAATTTGATCTAAGTCACACAATGAGTCAGTGGCTAACAAAGGAGGGAGAACAAAGTTCCATTTTCTTCCTGGGTTCTGCACTAGTTTCTTGCCAATAAGAATTAAAAGCCATTTAATATTTTATAAAACAACTTTTTAAAAGTCATCTAGTTGTGTTTTATCTGCACTGTAACTTAAGCTTCACAAGATTTTAAAAAGCTTTGTAGGAGTAAAAGCAAATATCTATATGCTAAATTTAGTAAAGCAAAAACTAAATGGATGAAAATCTTACTACTCCTCAAATGATTTATTTTCACTTACGTACACATTTCTGAGGAAGAGCACTACTCTTGAAAGCAAAAATGTATCGTGCAAGCCTCAGTGTTGTGCAGCCTATGGGTTCATTGCAGCCATTCTGTACTACATTTTTATGGTTCTTTCGATGACCACTGGGTGTCACAGTTATCAACAGTAAACTCTACACTTGGAGGACTTCTCCAGTATAAGACTCAAAATACAGTGTTATGATAAGAGATAACACCAATTACTGCACCCATAATATTAATAACTAACATTCCAAGAGTAGAAGATGGTCTCCTCAATGAAGTTAAAAATCTATTGGAGTTAATATGGTGCTCTTCCTGAAAACACAGCAAAATGGAAATTTGTCTTCTAAATTTAATCTAGCAATAGGATCCTATCACATAGCATATTTGTAAATTATTTCCTCTGATGTAGTGGAATGCAAGAATTCCAGCTTTCATGGGCTCGAGGAGTGACTTCCATTTCAAAAATTCATTGATAAGAGAGTCATTTTTCCTCTCCATTTTTAAGAGGTCCATTCTCTGAAAGAAAGTATACATAACAGTGCAGTCTTCTGTTTCAGGTTCCAACTCTCAGAATTATTCAACAACCAAAATAATGTGAGCTCTCTCTTTTTTTTTTTTTTTTTTTTTTTTAATTTAAAAGTAAGTCTGTGGTCTCCAACACAGAAGAGAAAATATGACTCCAGTGTGATCGGTTCTTATTCAAGGTTGCAGACCACAACTTCAAATCAGGTGAACTGCTTCATGTCTTTGTTCACCTGTCAGCTCCGAAGGGACAAACATGAGTCATCCCCACCAGGGACCCTGCTGGATGAGGAGTACATGAGCTGGGCTGGTTTCACCCACCGGTCTGTAGACCTTATACTTGAAGTGCTGGGGAGCGGCTTCCTACATCCAAAGAGTAGGCAGCAGTGTGGGCAACGTAAAAAAAAGTAAATTATTTGCAAATATACAGAATAATGTACTTCATAACTTAAAGTATGTAAGTTTCAATGCAGGCCCCACACTCCCTCAGTGAATACCATCAAGAAGGGCTCATGTGGCTGTGGACACTTGTGAGCAGATATGGTATATGGCCAAAGTGTGCCAGGACAAGCAGGTCTGGAGGCATCAATGTCTACAGGAGGTTTGGGAAGAGCCAGCAGTGTGTGGTATTGGTCAGGAGTGGGTGATGAGATCAGTCAGAGACTCACGTTTGGGATCAGTTTAGACAACAGAGTTTAGGGGATCTTTGCCAAGACCCATTGGATGCCAAAAAGGAAGAACAAAGAAAGGTGGAGGAAGATTTTTACTGAAATATATTGGAGATCAACATTTGAGGGCTAAAAGAAAGAGCTTGGGAATAATTCCAACTCTTCCATCTCTTACCCACTAGCTGGGCAACTTGCACGTGCTGCAACATTTCAGATTTTCTCATTTCCTAATTTTTTTTACCTATCTTTTATTTCGGGTATTGAGAGAACTAAAAAAGAAAGCACAGAATTAATTTAATTCATGAAAATCAGGCCCAACAGATGCAGCTGGCTGCAGTTCAGGTGACAGGTTCAAGTCTGAGGCACAGGCAGGTGAGACTGAAATGCCAAACAAGCACTGTCATAAGAGATGAGTAGCACATAGCAGGCATCAGCCTCTCTCTTTTGTAGTGTATTTGGGGGCTTAGATTGTCTTAAGCAAATCTTCCTGCCCTGCCCAGCATTTCCAGCTTGTAGCTCTGTACTGCTCTATCTCAGACCCTCAATCCCTGATTGCTAAAACAACTGTCTCAGCAAGAAACATATTTTTTCTTATTTTTTCCTTGAGCCTATTTTCATCTGAGCCCAAACTTACACAAAAAGGCCTGCACTATATTCAGTTAGAAGAATGAAAGCTTTAGCTAATGCATAAAAGATGGATGCAAAGAGGAGAAAATTAAACCGTTCTTCTTGCCCAGTAGAGCACGATAAGAAATATTGGGTGTAAACTGCAGGTGGGAGTTTTAGATTAGAAGTCAGAAATGGCTTTTTAAGAGTAGGCATAGTGGAGGACTTGGATAGATTGATTGAAGAGTTTCTGAAGGATTTAAAAAACAGGTTGGATAAACATTTATCAAGAATCACACTGATATATTTGCAAGCAAGAATTGTCCAGGCCTGTCTTCCAGTGCTTTTACGAGTCAAGGGAGGCTGATGGCCTTTCTTCTGCCAGAGATCAGTCTTGAACTAATCTCACAATCTCAAAACATTCCCAGCAAGAATAAATAAATAAAGAAATAAATATTTTTTAAAAATTAAGAATATATATTTCATTTCATTAACATAATCCCAATTCTTTCTCTGCTTAATCAAAAAAGCCCTCCTACCCTGCAACATACTCAGCTGCAAAGCTGAATACAGCAATTAAAATACTGAAAGCCTTGTACTAGCAGCACTGATAATTCTGCAGCAATAAAGTAGCAAGTGATCTTGAGTCTATATTTCTGAGTTCTAGCCACTTATACTCTTCTGCCTTCCTCCCCACCCCAACACAATGCCTGGTTTTCTAAATTACTGCAGCTATTATGCACGCTTTTATTAACATAGCAGGTGCAGTTATTTAGACCATTAATATCCTCACAGTAGTGTAAGTCAGAAGTGACCCCACTGCAAATTAACAATTCAGACACAAGAGGTGAATGGTGCTTTAAAATACAGCTGGAAATCCTCTACTGTACCCAAATAGGATTCAGTCTAGTGTCCTCGTCTGAAAGCTGCTCCCTTTCTACCATTCACTTGAGTTGGAGGAGGAAAACGTTACAAATTTTTTTACTTTTATTTTTTTAAAAGGAGGCTCCTCTCTTCCAGTTGAAGTTAAAAGCTGTCAGCAAGCACCAGAAACACATTTGGAGATTTTGGACTGACTCCTCTTGATTTGACTATTAACTTCTTTTTCCCTTTCTATGGTGCCATTTCAATAAAGCCAGTTACCAAAAGCTTCTCTGACTCACACTTATTCTTTCTGCCATTTCCCTTCACACCACAGTGCCATTTTTTCTCTTCCTTTTTCCCCCTTCCATCCTGTCTCATTTATATCTTCATTTCCCATGGTTTAAAAGATGGATGCCAATGTTTCACTAAAAACCTAGAAAAACAGGTTTCATCTTGCCCAGTCCTTTAGGGATTACTGGCAAATGGATATTGAACTATTGTGTTTATGTATTATTAGTAGTGTGTTGCTGGATTGTGGTTACTGCTAAATAGCTTACAGTGGAAATGGAACAAAAACTTCCTGAAGAATTAAAAAAAAAAAAAAAAAAGTGAGATACAATAAGGACAATATGATACATCGTATTGGGAATGTTCTTGTGCTGCTTACAACCACACAGGTCAAACCACACTGACAACTACTGAATACAGCTCTGGCCACAGTGTGGGGTCACGCTGCACCTGTTTGTCATTTACGTCATGCATGCTCCGTATTCTGAATAACTTTGGTTTAGCTGCCTGACAGATTACTCACATAAACCTATAGTTAAGTGGAGGATATGGCAGCACAGCTCAGCACCACACTCCTACCAAGCTAACTCCAAAACAAAATGCTGGATAGGTGTGTCACCAAGGCACTCCACCCCTGCTGATGAGTGCAGCCAGCACCGGGAAGGCAGGAGGGGGCCAAAGCCCTGCTCCTCCCACTGCTCACACTGGCTGCCCCAGTCAACAGGCCAGAGGAGCTAGAGTGAGGAGTATGCCAAATGTTAGACCCTCTCACTTTTAAGATGCCAACTAATAGCTTTTTGGTGTCTGTGTAGGACATACAAATGTAAAGATCTGCCTCTTTTAACTGAGGAACCTCTTTAAGTGGGATTTCAATCCAGCTAAACAGCCATCCCTCTTCCCAGAGTTGTCAGAATGGCAATGTGATTAGAAGTTGCAATAAGCTGGGTCTCATTGTGACTACTTAATTACATGATTCAAGAAAATGCTCTCTTGTTTCAATAGACCTTCTGTGACTTAATTCCACTAAGAGTTAAAAATAAAAAAATAAAATGAAAAAACACTGAAGCCAGAAGAATTACACAGGTGCAAGCCAGTCTTTCAGAGCAAAACCAACTTAAATAACAAAGTAAATAAATAACAGACCCACTATATCATATACACGAATTTATTAACATAGAAACCTACACAAACTATCATTTGGAGAAATCAATTTGGGCCACACCCAGTGCCCTCATTCTGATTTTGCTTATTCTTCTTCACATAAAATTTTCATAGTGGAAGGAAAGCAGGATTAAGCCGAATGAGTCCATGAAATCATTACCTTCTCACCACAAAAACAAACAAGACACGTGTAAGAATAAAAAGCCAGTTTTGCAAGATACCATAATGCCAAGTCAGGTCAGTCAGGTTACAATAATAATTTCTAATTAACACTCTGCTGAGTTTCAGTGTTATTTATTTGCATGTGAGTGTCACTCAGAACAATACAGTGCTCTTCCCTGCCTTTGAAAATCTCTAAAACAACTGAAAGAAAAATTTGCACCCTGATCTGTATGAAGCAAAATCCAATCTAACGACAAACAAAATGTATGGTTGAACTTGAAAACCTTAGAAATGAGAAGACTGATACAAATCTGCTGATCAAGAGGAGAAAACATAGATCAGCACAGGTGAAATACCACTGAAGATGTGATTTCTATGTCTTATTTTGATTAAATATATGCAAGCAGCAAAATTTCCCCCTTTACCTTGCCTTGCTTCTGAAAATGCTCCCTTTTGAAATGTGGAGTAGTGCTGTTTTCTAAAGTCTACCATGGCCCAATATAAAATTCTGCAGGTCAAGCCTACTGGAAGGCTTCAATAAAAATGAAATATTTTAATTATGCTTGGAAACTGTCTGATAGTCAAATAGCCACCTATGTATCATTATTCAAGAAGTCTTGTTTCAAAAGCAAGTATGAAAGTAGTTCTGCTGACAATCTGAATTTGTCTCAACTTACTGTATTCAAAATATTTGTAGCTGAAAAAATTCAGATCACATTTCCATAGTTTCATACATTAAGAAATTTATCATTTAAATTAATGTTTACAGGTGTACTTGTTACGTAGATAAAACAACAAA